ATGAGGTTTTAAGTTCTCCATGTGACCAGATGGGGTTTGCCGCAACAATAGGGTTTCTGCTTGGTTTTGGGAAGGGCAGCAGTTTTGCTGGCATTACAAAAGGCTATGTGTGATAAAATAAGGAACCTTCTTTCTCCAGCACATCTGATTTATGAAACTGCTGGAAATCAAAACTTCTTTGCCATTTGGATAATTTTTTTATTCCTCCAAACTGTACTGGATGTTCTTCACATATTAATTTGTGGATTACAGAATGTTCTAGGCAAAACATCAGTGGGACAGCAAAATGTTAATACAAGAGTTCAGCTGACATAAAATAAAACCACAGTGTTCTGCTATCCTGCTTAATAATGACCCAAGTGAAATGGGGACAGTTGTGTGGTCTAGTGGCTAGTGAGGGGTGTGGTCCTCTGGATTCCTGGAGCTGCTTCCCAGATCTTCTTTCCCATGCGGGGTGACCTTAAACAAGTTTACCCCTTGTAAATTGGAGCCCGATGTCTGGCTAGGAAGGCTTATTAAGAAAACTAAATTTTGAAAAAACAATTTGGGAAACTTGAGATGACAGGTGCTAAATAAAGACACTCCTTTCTATTAAGTAGCTCTAAGAAAACACATTCAGATTCCAATTTTGTGACACTAGTGTTTTGGGAAGTCATCTTTCGGCTTTTTATGAATTGAACACTCTTTATCTGGATGACAAACATGGATACTCCTGACCATTTTGCTGGAATGATTGTTTCAATTGTCAGCACTTTGGTTTAGTGGCATCAAAAGAACAATGGCTTAATTTCCACATCAACAAATTATTCTGGATTTAAACAGAACTGCGTAGCAGCGGTCACAAGACCAGCAAAAGGTGCCTGAGAGCCAGGAAGTTAAATTGATTGTAAATGGCAGTAAAGCAGACTGGCTGAGCTTTGCTTTCTGAGACAAATGCAATGTATCAGTGGGGAAAAGCAAAGCAAACAGTAGGAAAAAATGTGTTGCAGAAAATGGAGACTGGACATGCAAGAGAAAAGGACTGTCCTGCAGAGCAGCACTGTTGGAGCACTTAGGCTAATTTTCCAGAGATGTATCTCTTGAAAGGGGGAAGCAAACATCCTCATGCCTCAAAGGCTGGGTGTAATGTGAGTTTCCAATATACTGATGTGCTGTGAGAGTAGAGACCATACAGGTAGGCTGAAAGAGCGACCTGTGGAGTGGATTCCTGGCTGAAGGATCTTGATACAAGTTCCATCCTAATCAATTCATTTCTCTAATCTAAATCTTTAAACAAAGAAAACATTTTAGTCATCAGCCTATTTTTCCTCTTCCAATCCCCACCACTGAGAGAGCTGAGGTCTGAATGGCTGCTCAGAACTTCCCCAGCAATGTGACAGGGAAGGTCGAACTGCTTCTAAGCAGTGAAGTCTTTGGGAAGAAAGTCTGGCATGCTCAGTGTTTGCACCAGAGTTTTGCCATTGGATTTTGCTGGAAGTGGATCAAGCTCTTACTTTGAATGTACCCACGATCAATTAATTTCAAGCTGTGTCCTCATCTATAGCCAGAACAAATCAAGATTTTTCTGTTCCACCCCCAAATGTGCAGGTGACATCATATTGTTGGGGAAATGTTGCTTTCTTGTCCAGCCAGCAGCTTGTCCTGGCTTGGAGCTTGGTAGCAGTTCTCTGCACGGTGTGGTCTGTACTGCACAGGACACCTGGAGTATGCTTTGCATTTGCAAGTAGTTGCTACATGTTTACATAGCAGAGAAGCAAGGGTTTCTGGTCTGTATGTGCTAGGTAGACAAGCAAGCAAGCTTGTGGCTAATTTAGGTCTTGAACTCTCATTGCATTGAAAACTATTCTCTTGCAGGCACTTGTTCCCAGCATTAAGATTTAGGCACTACTTAGCTGTGAGGAACCATTTGCAAAGTAAGGTTTGCTCTGAGCTCTTGCAAAGCAGGACAATCAGCCTGTATAAACCTCTTGGCTGTGAGAAGCTGGTATGGATCAGAAAGCCAAAGTCCCACTGGAATACTGGGCAAAAAACTGTTGTAATCCACAGTGCCCACTAATGAGGTCCTCATGCCTAATATGACAATACATCCCTTCCAGAGGTGAGGGTTTATTTGTACTCATTTCTCTTTAAAATCTACATCATAAACAGGGCCCCACTTTCTTTCTACTCAAATGAAAATAGAAATTACCTTTTTAAAAGTCATTTTGGAGTTCTTGTTCCTTGAAGAAAAAACACCAAGATGTCAGAACTAACAGAAAGGACACGAGTGAAATTATTTACCTGAAGTCTTATGGCTAGAAGAAGCCATGACTTCCTACATGTCAATCCAGTTTATTTCATGGAGAAACTGCTACATCTCCAGTTGTGTCCTGATCTTTACTCCATCCAAGCTGGAGAATCAGTAAGGAGCAGGGTTAGGTTTAGCACTATCACAGTAAGAAAAGGTGATTGGATGTGGTTTTGTGAATGATTATCATGGTCTAATGTGGAACCAGCGAAAAAAGCAGAGTGCCAAGGAGGCATGGGTAGGTCTGTGAACCTGGCTGGTTCTGGAGCACCTCCTCTTTGCTGTAGGAATCCAGCAGCAAGTTCAGCCTGAGCAACTGGGTAAGTAATCCCCTTGATAGTAGGGCTGTGGTGCATCTTTGGTTCTAGCCATGACCCAGTGGGTAGAAATACTCCTGGGGATGAAATGTCTGCTGAGCCTGCTGTGCCTCGAGCTGGTCCTTCTTCCTCCTGTCCCATCCCTCACCACTGAGCTCAGAGATGAGCTCTGGTTTTGGGTTGTCTGAGGGCAGGAGAGTGCACCTGAGAAACACAACTCTTTGTGATTTCTTGCTGTTCTTAGTGCCTGTCAGTCTATAGTGAGGCAATGACTGGGGCACTGGACAGTTTCACCAGGATCAAACAATGAAAAGAGTTGTTGTCCCCTTCCAAAGCTGGCCAAAGCCCAGAGGAGCTCCTGTATGCAAACAGAGTCTGAGTAGTTCACATTAATGTACCAGTTTATAATATCTAACAGAAATTCCCAGTAGCCTGAGACTCTGCTACAGACAGATGTGTTACCATTTTGCTGATGTGGAATTAACGATAGAATTATTTAGAGACCTGGTGATAGGCTTTTGACTCTACAGTGTCCAACTCTCAAACCTGTGCTTTCCTATATCTATCCTCCATAGACACTATTTGGAACAATTTCTCCTTCCAAACAAAAAATAATTTTGGGAAACACACATTCTCAACTCAGCTATGAAATGTCATCTTTGTGGTGGTGATGATTATGGGATGCAGCAAATGCATGCATAATTATTCTCACTGCTCACAGAGCAGCAGATAGGCCCATTTCCTGCCTCCTGAAATATATAACCAAACACTTCTCCTCATGCTGTCTGCTCTGTGAATTTTCATGAGCTTGTTCCCTAGGGCTCCATGTGAAATTATTCTAATTTTTCGAAGTAGGGGGAAAAAAATGAAATAGTTCTGTTGGAAATGGCATTGATTTGTCTATTAAGTCATTACAGCTGTTTCTCTCTTGAAGGCACAGGAAGAGGAATTCCTGATTTATTTTTTTATTAATATAGGGATATGGGAGGCAGTCTGACAGTAAGAATGCAGTGAATTTTGGAAGCAGTTCTTGAAGTGCTTTCTTATTATGTATGTGAGAACAAAGAACAAGGATAATAAAGTAAAGAGTATTTTCTGACTTTCAGAGGTATAGCTTGGTCTGTGTCAATAGTTATAACTATCTTGGTGTAGGGTAATTTATTAGATGCCAAGGGTTGTGTTTGACAGCCTGAACTTTTCAGCCTAGTCACATAAGGGAAGGCCCAGCAGAATATATAATGCAAATGTTCACATAGTATAATGAAAAATACCCTTCTGAACTATTTTCCATTAAAAATAAAAATTTAAATTACTTAACAAAGCATGCTTCTTCTCCCTGTCTTTTAGCAACAAACAAAAGCTTCGATGTGCAGTCTAAAATTGCTCATCAAGGGGAGAGACTAGGCTAGGATTTAGTAAATGGCTTTTTTTTTTTTTTCTTTGAATAAAGCAATTAGTTTTAAAGGGAACATGTCATCTTCAGTACACTGCTAAGGTAGAACAGTCATTGTGCTTTCTGGCACTCCATCAAACTGCTCCTTGTGCATAGTTATTGGAGAAAGTGCATTTACACGTTCTGTCGACGTCCAATGCCGGGAAGAGGTTTCTTAAATAACAAGACACTGGCTATTATGTGCATTAGCTTTATTATTTTTTCAAAAGTGTCTTAGCCTTTGGGGACTGAAGGTACTTAATAATATGTTGCAATTACAGTGTGCCAATGTGTTGTCGTCATATCTCAGGTGCTTGACAATCAAACAAGTGCAGATTAACCCTTAGATGTCTATTGAATTTCCACTTAGATGCTTTTATGTCTAGAGCTTGGGATGTGTCCACAGTGCAGCAAAACCCAACATCCATCTGTTGTCTTGGAGCATTGCCAGCAGCTGTCCCAGGAGGAATGTCCTCTGCCACCCCCAGATATGCTTAGCCCAATTAGGAGAAACGAGCTCTGTGCTTTTGGTTTGGATGGCCTGTGACTTTCTGAGTAGAGGTGTAGGCTGCTCTGGAGAGGGAGCATAATCAGACACTTTGCCCCAGGAAAGCCTGGGTTTGTGAGGGTGTTGTGATTTAACCCCACCTGGCAGTCATGTACCACACTGTCAGTCACTGCCCTGGCCCTGGTGGAGAGGAGAATAGAAGAAAAAACAATGTAAACCTGATGAGTTGAGGCAAGAGCAGCTTAATAGAGAAGATGGTATCTGTTAGCTTGCTCAGAGATCAGAAAGCTAAGAGTTCAAGTCCCAGGCCAGAGAACTCACCAAGGGGAGTTAAACTAGTGGTGTAGATGAAACCTGAAGTAAAATGTCTCCTGGACAGAGCTGTTCAGTCTCTAAATCAAGACAATATGAAATGTGTTCTGCATTGTGGGTTTTCTGTTTGTTTTTCTCCTCCAGCATCCTTGGTATTGAAAAACCTCCCAGAATGGATGTCAAGGAGTTCTGTTGAAGCATGGCAGGTACATCACCCTTAAGCCATAGAAAATATGCATTTTGAGTTGCTCTCTGCTGGATATCCAGGTACAACTTGTCTTTATTTGCAATCTATATTTTCTAGCTGTCTGGGTGTGGACAGAAGGAGGTAAAGGGAAAATCAGCTGCTGTCTATTTGTACCAAACAGCAAGAGCCCAAAGCAGACAGCCTTTGTTTGCTGGGCAGTATAAGAGCTTTTGTAGGTGGTGTCCAGTGTTTGTTATTTTTTCAATTTTTGGTTTTATTTTCCTTTGGAGTATGAGTACAACTCAGAGGGAAAGTTTGGATATGCAAGAAATTCAAGGAAGTTTTAAAGACTAGGTGCAAAGGCCAAGCAAAAGCTCTGAAGTACTAACTGAGTTATGGCTTTTACCATGATGCCTGGTCAGTAAATGAGCTAAAAGTACATCAATTCTAGAGTGGCAGGCACACTTTTTTTTTTGTTGTTAGTTTTTTTATTTGTTTGTTTTTGGGTTTTTTTTGCTTGGTTGATTGATTTGGGTTTTTTGTTTGTTTATTTGTTTAATTCTGGAAAAAGTTGTCTCCTGCTGAGGAAGCTTGGCTGACACCCAGATTAGTCCTACTCTAATCTTTAGAGTAACTTTCTCTGTGCAATGTGAAATGAGATGATGTGATGGTGCAGCAGACAAGCTGCAATACCTTATCCAGGTCAGAACTGCTCTCATATGAGTGAAGCCTTGCATCTGCAGTTAAGTCAACAGTTGAACTCAGGTCTGGGATGCTTCCTTTATGCAGCAGGAGTATGTAATTCTCCTCTGTGGTGCAGGCCATTCAGCAGATTGTCAGTCTTTACAGCATAGCATTACAGGTAGAGATGTCAGGATCACCAACAGGGTTAAGGTTTTTCCATGAGAAGCCAGTGTTTGCAAGAGCTCCCAGTTGCAGATTGTAACTGCTTCAGCAGATGCCTACTGTGCAAAAGGTCATTCTTCTCTCTCATTTTGGTCTTGGTTTTGTTTTTCCTTTCTTTGTGTTTTGGAAAGTTCCAGTTAGAGAGGTTCAGCTGTTTTGGAGAAGGAAATTGGAAATTGTTTGTTAATAACAAAAATAAGCTTAATTGTCCTCCTCAAGTTCCATATTTTAGAGCAGGATCTTGGCCTTTAAAGGACAAAGTTCATGGGGTCCACAATGGTGTTAAAGAGATGGCTTGCATGACATGCCTATGGGAGGTTGTGTGTTGCCAAATTATATATGTCGACTTTAAAAAAAAAAAAAAAGGAAAAGCAGTTTTATTGTGCTCATTGTCTGCTGGCTAATCCTCCTGATGTTTGCCCTGCTGGGATGGGAATATGGGTGAGACTGAACAGGTTTGTCTTTGGTGCTGTTGCTCTCAGATTAAAGTGGTTATTGTGGGTCCAGGCTCTATGAAATATCAATCAGATGGACATGACCAGGGCCTGGCAGATATTCTCAACCACAATACTGGATTTCAGGGCCTTTTTCCAAAGTGTGGAAAATATTTATCTTAACATCTTGTTTCAAAAAATTTAATATGGGCTACACAGTTGACTCTTTTCTATTATATGTGTTACCAAAATCCCACCCCTTAAGATTATGTCAGATGCATCTTCCCTAAGTCTAAGGAAAGCTCTTCTGTAGGCTTGTGCTCTGGCAGAAACAAGAGTTATGGTTGGTATGCACAGGGAATCTCCAGGGTCATTGGTTCCTCTCCCTGATTTAGCTTCTCAGACCAAACCTGTAAAACCTACAGGAACAATTGAAGGTCTTAGGGAAAGTCCTGTGCAGAAGCCTGAGGGAGACTGATAAAAACACAACTGAGACTGGTGAATAGGAGAAAGGAGAGGAAGCATGGCTCAGAGCAGGAAATAACGATGGATCCCATAACTAGGAGAATCTCCACAGTGAAGGTTAGGACTAGACTTCTTAGGTTTTTTTTATTTCCTGATAATGCCTAAACTAAAGTAGGTCTCCATACTAGAGACAGCACTAATGGAGACTGGTCTCCACTGCTCACAGTTGTAAGAAAATAATGGATCTTGCATGCTCTGAGAGTTCATTGCAGCTTCACAACTTCGCTTGGAGCAATAGTTCTTTGGTGAGCTTCAGGAATCCACTTGATTTCCCCTCATGCCTGTGGAATTCAGGATAGGGGTTGTTCCTGGAAATACTGTTATTCCTTAGGGTGAAAATCCCTGGAGAGCACAGACTCCACTGTATGGGGCATGTAGTGATACAAGGGGGAATGGCTGTAAGATGGGGAGGGTAGATTCGGATTAGGTTTAGATATTAGGAAGAAATTCTTTGCTATATGGTGAGGCACTGGCCCAGGAAGGCTGTGGAGTTGCCATCAGAGGTGTTCAAGACCAGGCTGGATGGGGTTCTGAGCAGCCTGAGCTGCTGGGAGGTTCCCTGCCCACAGCAGAAGGTCTGGAATGATGGTCATTAACCATGCTTTAACCTAACAATTCTATGACTGATATTTCTGGGTGCCTTATTAGAGTTCTGATAGCTGTGATTAAGACTGAGTAATGAGGTGTGACTCAGTGAAGGAGCTGACTACGAGAGTTGGCCACTAAGCTCAGTATTGCTCACCCTCAGCATTTGGATCACTGTAGGCCTTGGCTTGGTCAGCACACAACATGACCATCCATGCTGGAGGGCAAAAAGGAGGCCTCACAAAGAAGTCCAAGCAGTGGAAAGACATACTAAACCATCCATTCATATAACAAAAGAAGGGAAAAATGAAAGCCAAGGACTGTATAAAAGGATGAGGATTTTCTACCTTCATGTTATGAAGCGTGGTTGCCTGGAACCAAGGAACAAGTTTCATGTGAGAAATCAGCTCCAGCTGATTCCAACTGGTTCCCGCTTTCATGTCTACTTTACAGGTCTTAAATGTATTTGTTAGGCTTCATGTGTCACTCCCAGCCAGCTCAGCAGCTGGCCTGCTTGAGTAGGATTGCTTCTCATACAAAGCTTCTTGCTGATGGTTCCAACAACTTGGGGCACTTGTCTATCTACTCCCAGTGATTCCTGTTGGTCTGGGATTGAAAGATTTATACTGGTCTCTTGAGCATGCAAGAACAAGTGCACTGTAGGTACTTTGAGGGTAGGAAGAAGTCTACTTTGAAGAAGCTTGATATTTGGAAGCCCTATATGGACCATCCTAACTCCTCATGAAAACTTCCTGGCTCCCTAGGCATGGAGCTCCCTGCCAACAGGTTTGTGGTCCCCATCCTGTGGTGTGAGCAGGCCTGGAGAGAACTTCTGTTTTTTTGCTGTCTCAAATCCTGAGTTCCTCTATGATATTTTCGTTGTTGTTGTTTGGGATTTATTAGGAGACCTCCTGGGGAAATGGCTCTTCTCTTTCTCTCTCTTCATTTGGATGCTTGATTCCCAGGAATGTGTTTAGAGGGAGAGTCTGAGTAATGCCTTTTGCCTGGCAGTGCCGTTGTTGCCCAGAAATGTAAAGCAAATTCCGCTGAGCTATAGCACTCGATTCCTGGAACTGCATGAGGCAGCTCACAGAGCATGGAAGCTGCTGCCACCTCACTGACAGGCTTTAGGGGGAATCATGCAATTGCTTTCATGCCTGAGCAACCTGGAGCCCTGGGTCTTCTGGCTGGTGGTCACTCCTCTGTGAAACCACAGAACTGTGGGTATACTGCACTCTCCTGTCTGCTCTTGTGGCTTCTGGTAACACATGGTGGGAGAGGAAGAGAAGAAATTAACCCCACTATGAACCTGATAGGCAGTGCAATCTCTTATGTGATGCATGTGTGGGAGCAATTCCTTCCTGACCATGGTGTAGATTTGGCTCATGTCCTAAAGAGCAGTATTTAGATCACTTTTATCTTCATTCTCATAGCTACAGGGATTTTTAATGTCTATAAAATGACCCAGCTGCAGTATTTGACTTGATGACCTTCACTAACAATGAATTTTATGGACTGGCTATACAGTAGGGGTGGGGAAAGCTTTTCCTTTTTCTTGAAGAATGTGGGAGTACTTTGTAGACATGCTAGATCGGAAAAGAGACCTTGAGAGACTGTCTGCTTCATTTACCAACACTGATCTAAGCAGCTGAAATGTGTGGTGCTTTCTGATGAGAAAAAGAGGTGGAAGACCTCACCTGATTCACATGAAGAAAATCATTTATCCCATGGCATAAGGACTGTGTTTAAACATGGTGCTTGTGCACCGGTGTACATAGTTCATGTTTAAAAGTACTCAAGTTATCTGTGCATTAATACTGGCCTAGGAGCTTTGAAGCATGTTTAAAAGTACTCAAGTTATCTGTGCATTAATACTGGCCTAGGAGCTTTGAAACCACCCCTCTGTACCACTCCTACAAACATTTACAAACATATTTACCTAGTCCTGGCCTGTGGCTCAGGCCAGGCAGTGAGAAGTCTTGGACCTCTTCGCTTGGTCAGCTTGTTAGAAGGCCCATTAAGATGAGCTGAGCTGGGTGTTTTTGTGGCAAAGCCTTGGACAGCAGCTATCAAGTTGATTTGTTTGGTCATACACAAGTGGAGGAGAGCTTTTCTCCTGTACCCATTCTAAGAGAATCCAATGGGGCAAGGTTTTCCTCTCAGTTCGTTCATTTAGTCTTGTTGTACCTTCAGTAATGTGAAGTTTGCTGTTAAAGCTGGGGTACCCTTGGCAGCCAGCCCAGGGAGACACTGCATACTCTGACTGGAAATCCATTTCCTCTCATGCTGGCCTATTTTGAAAGAGTAAACTCCTCTTCTCTGACTTCCTTTATGTGCTGGCTGTCAAGTTATAAGAGAAGCATTTGACAGTGCTGATGCTGCTGTTTGTATCAGCAAATCACCAGCCTTGAAAGAGCATAATTTGACTAACAGCTCATAATATTATTATTCTTATTAGTTTATGGCAAAAGAAATGCAACAGCAACTCTCTTCCGTGGCATCAGCTCCAAATGTCTGTGGCATCAGATCAGCCAAGGCTCTTTTTGAAAAATTTAGCCATACTCCCCCA